CACTCTCTCACACACAAACACACACACACCACATACCACACACACACTCTCTCACACACATACACACACACATAGCACACACCACACACACACACACCACACACACGCACACACACACACACCACACACCACACATACCCACTCTCTCACACACACACACACACACACACACACACCACCTCTCTCACACACATACACACACACATAGCACACCACACACACACACACACACCACACACACACACACACACCACACACACACCCCCCCTCTCTCACACACACACACACACACACACACAGCACACACACCACACACACACTCTCTCACACACATACATACACACATAGCACACACACCACACCACACACACACACACACACCACACCACACACACACACACACACCACACACACACTCTCTCACACACATACACACACACATACCACACACACCACACACACACCATACATACACCATACACACACATACACACACACACACACACACACACACACACACGAATAAATAGATAAATAAATAAAGCCTGGGGGTGTGTGGCATACACCTTTAGTTTTAGCACTTGGGAGGCAGAGGCAGGCAGATCTCTCTGAGTTTGAGGCCAACCCGGGCTACAAGAGACAGTTCCAGGACAGGTTCCAAAGCCACAGAGAAACCCTGTCTCAAAAAAACAAAAGACAAAAACTAACTAAATAAATAAACATAATTTTGTTTGTGTTTTTCTGAGACAGGTTCTCCTTGACTGTCTTGAAACTTGCTCTGTAGACAGGCCGGCCTGGAACTCTCACCGCTGCCTCCCGAGTGCTGGGATTAATAAAGATAACAAATATTTCAAAAATAAGCAACAAAGGAAGAGGATACCTGGTGATTAGCTTGTGACCTCAGTGACTCGGGAGGCCTGTCTGGATGACAGATTGAGTTCAGGCCCAGCCCTGAGGCCTAGGAAGACCTCATCTCAAAAATAAATGAATATATAAATAACTAGCTGTACATATGGAGTTGGAAGCCAGCCAGGGCTAATTATCCCAACAAACCAACCAAACAACCTCAAAATAAAACTGTCCACTGAGAGGCCTTTTCTGAAGAAACATCACTTATCTTTTCAGCAGGAGGAAATCCAGCTGAGGAAGGAGCAGAGGAAGTCAGCCGCCGTGAGCTGATAAGTTCATGAATACATTCCATTTTTCATGTCTTTGAGACAGGATCTCTCTATGTAGACCAGGCAGGATTTGAACTCACAGGGATCTGTCTGCCTCTTCCTCTCAAGTCTGGGATGAAGGGCCTGAACCGCCCTGGTCTCTGTTTACTTTGTTCTTTTCTGTCCTGTGCCTGTGTGAGTTTTTTGTGCGCATGAATGTGCGTGTACTTGTGTGTGTGGAGGCTAGCGGTTAATACTCAATGTTTTCCTCAACTGATAAACACCTTATTTTTGGGGGGCAGAGTCTCTCTCCCAGAGCTCACCAATTCAGCTAGACTGGCTGATCACCAAGTCCCAGGGATGCTTCTGTCTTTGATTCCAGAGTGTTATAATGGTGGGTGCACACAATATCTAGTTTTCAATTTTTTTTTATTTAATGTGGATAATGGGAATCAGAACTCAGATCAAAAATAGCAAGCACTTTACCACCTGGGCCATCTCACCAGCCCCCCCTTCGCCTCTTTATTTTTACTTTTTAGTGTTTTGAGACAGGGCTGTCCTGGAACTTGATCGATAGACCAGGCTGGTCTCAAACTCACAGAGATCCACTTGCCTCTGCCTCTCGAGTTCTGGGATTGAAGGAGTGTGCTGCTACACCGGTTCTGTTTATATTTATTTTTGTGGTGTTGGGGAATCAACCAACATGTTGGGTGTTGGGGCCTTGTACATTCACAAAAGCCCTAATCCTGACACATAAATGTGTGTGTGTGTGTGTGTGTGTGTGTAATTTTTAGCAAAATAAACATTGTATTATTTCCCCTATCTATTTATTTTTCTTCGTGGCTACAGGAAATCTTTCAGTGGCATACAGGACTCCTGTTGTGTGTTTATAAGGCAGCTTAGCCTCCTGCCCACAGCAGTGCCCGAGGCTGCCTGAACACACGAGGACTAAAGCTGGGTCCTCAGTACTGAAGGCCGCTCTAGGCCCCCAACCCACACCCAGCTGGCTATCTGCTGCCCCTGGGGAGAAACTTTGCCTTCTGGCCTCCAGGTCTTTGACTCAGCTTCGTCGGCCTCACATCCCTCCCAGACTTCCCTTTGGTTCATCTGCCCAGTGGAGCCTCCCAAGCCTGTAGCCATGATCAGCTGCCCAGCATGTTCTGCGTGTGGGGGCCAGCTTTACATGCTGCCTTTCCTTCAACTGCACCAATAACGGAGAATATGGAATTTAATTTCTATGGAATGTTGTTCTTGGGGATGGAGAGACAGGTTAGCTGTCAAAGGTGCCTGCCAGAAACTCAGACGAGGTGAGATGGATCCCTGGGACCTACATAGACATGGAAGGACAGAACTAACCACAGCGAGCTGTCCTCTGACCTCCAGACTCAGGTTATGGCATGCTCATACCCACCTACATACATACACACATGCACAAAGAATAAAAAGGTAAG